GCACACTTCGGGTCCGCAGGTGGTGGTGGAGGAGGTGGTGGAGGTTAGTTTTGGGGAGTATGTGCTGGGAGTGGCTGTGGAGGGTCTTGATGTTATCGTGGTCTTTGTTTCAGTTTTGCTGTGTGTTATTGTTTGTGATGTACTTCTATGTATATATGCAGTTTCTGGTGGTGTTTGTGATTGCACAGTTGTCCTGGGTATTGTGTGTATGATTGCTGTTGTCAGTAGTTCCGTTGATGATGTACTTGCACTTGTCGAAGAAATATAGGTTGTGTTAGTTGTCTCTCTAGTTGTCTGTGGTTCTGTAGTTGGCTGGCATGGTACTTTTATATTTGTACAGCATTTAAATCTTAGTTTATAGTTATAGCAGATGGGTGGTAGTTGGTCTTTATTGTAGCATTTCAGCCCTTCTTCTGTATTACATGTTATGTGTTGCTCCAGGAGGGGATATGGTGTATTAGGGAACCTTACTGCTCTGCATTCAACAGCCTTTCTATTATCACAGACTTTGTATCCTTCTTTTTCAATGTTTTGAATTGTATCAAAATCCCCATCGTTGTATCCAGAACCTGGGTAACTGACATCATACCAGATTGACCAGTAACATTCTTCTTTACTGCAAAGAGGAGTTGTTGAAGGAGAAGTGGTGACAGGTGTTGGCCTTTCAGTTTTTCTTGTGGTTGTTTCTTTAGTAGCTGAAGGTTTGAATATTGTACTTTCAGAAGCTGTAGTAACTGTTGATGTTGTAGTGGTTGAAAATGATGTAGTTTCTTCAGTTGGACTTGATGTTTCTGTGCTCTTAGCTGCAGTTGTCATCGGTGTTGACATGCTGAAATGTGTTGTGGAAGAGCATGGTACAAAAACACAGCATAAGATTCTGATTTCGTAATTGTTGCACATTGTTGAATTTTGATCTTTGTTGTAACATATAAGCCCAGCTGTTGTATTGCATTCTACTTTTTGGCCAAGGTCTTTCAGTGGTATATTAGGGAATTTCTGTGCTCTACATTCAACAGCGTGTGGAGTTTTACAGACATCATAACCTTTAGTTCTCAAATCATTAAAGGTTTCAAAATCTCCGCCATCAGGGCCAGGGGTTTGCAGACTCCCATCATACCATTCTGACCACTCACAGACTTCACGAACACATACTGATGTAGTTGGTGATACCATGAAAGAGAAAAAGAAGAGAGCATGAAACTTAGAATAAATTCCTATAGATATTCTCTTTTTTATTATATTAAATGGGCTGAAAATTTTCCTAAGGTCATTTGCTTGCATTGTGAGCCTGTAGTGCATCAGCTCAGTGTACTTATGATTTAGTATGAAGTAGAACAGAAAATCCATCACCCACCAATTTAATGTACTGATGTGCTTGGAACTGTCACTTCCCAAGAGAATGCCAATTATCTTTTACAAAGTGCTTAAATCAGTCTTGGGCATAATTTATACACATTGGGGGAAAGAAAACCCTCACATTTTTCTGCATTTGATTCAATGTAATTGCTTGGTTTATAGCTTGCTTCAATATTTATTAGTCTCTCTGCAACGTCAAAGCCCAAATTCAAATCCAGTGGAAAGAATAACATTTAGTCTATGCATCAAGATTCATAGGTACTTTTTTCTTCCAAATGAGTTGACTCCTCATGTAATATGCTGCATTGTCTTTGCTCCTCCATTTGAAGTAAAAGATGTCTAATGCAGCATTATTAGCACCCCTATACTTTCTACTTTAGCTCTGGTCTTAAGAAACCATTTATTGGTTGGAGAGCAGTTCATAAACTTTTGTAGGTGAATTCTCATTGTGAAATGGCTGGACAATGGCTAATGAATTCCAGCAGTGCTGACGGTTTCTGTGATTTCAAAACTTGTAGTTCTAAATTCTATACTGAATACTTAAACGATGTGTGCCCATAGTAATTAAACATTATCAACCTGAAGAATGCTGAACAGGAGTTCTAGAAATGCAAATTTCAGTATCTCAAGGCCAATATCTGAGCAATCCACTTATACTGTAATTATAAATACCATGAACCCTATCAGGAATTTTACAGAAAGTAATTCTGTAATTTAATAGGAAAAATAATGAATTATCTATTCAGTAAAGATTATTCCATGTATAGAAATAGTTACAATTACAGATAATAAATCTGATGCTGTTTTTTTATTATTCACTATGAAGATAAGCAAAATAATAGTATCAAACCAGTGTGCAGTGGTTTCCATTTTGGTGTTTCAGAAGTGGTTTTATTTTCTATGTTTATTTCCTTGTACTAGTTTGGTTACCAAATACTAACTGAAACCAAATGCTAATAACAAATGAGACTTACTGTCATTTATTCTGACGTTGTATTATGTTGTGAGTGTGGGCATGGTTTTATAGCTGTATTTTACTCACTAATGAACAGAATATGCTCTTATGGGCTATAAAGGATGTACCTGTGGAAGTAGTGGCAGGTGGTGTTGTGATCGGACAGTTATAGTAAACCCTTTGAAGCTTTCCATTGTGACCACAGGTTGCAACAATACACCTTCCTGTGCCATCTGTAGTATTGTAGATCACATCTTTGTAGTTGTATTTCTGTCCCTCATAAGTGCAGACACATTCTGTAAATCAAAAGAGAGCATTATTCTTTGGTATCTGAAACACAGAGCAGAGTACCTCAAATGCATCCTATTCAGATAAAAACAACTTTGTCAACATACCATATTCATCATATTTGCATTTTTTGCCATGATTTGTGCATTCACTGGAAAAGAGGAAAAAGGAGATAATGAATGTGAATGTATTGGTTCATGACATCATTTTACTGTTTCAATTATTTCTATCTATCCTTTGCTGTTCATTGTGTGTTTAAATGTAGAAAGACCCTATCTTCTCTGAGTTAGATATTCAGTTCTGCTGTACAAATTCAGGCTAGGTAGGATCACTCAGTTTTCTGGCAAGAAAGGCAACACTTCTATGCCAGTATACTAAACATGCAGTACCCTTATCGGTGCTTTTGGAGGCTGGGCAAAGACGTGGGGAGGGGTCATTTGAAGTGTTCTTATCTCCCTAATAGGTACACTTATGTTTTGGAAGGGAATGCACAGTAAATGTATCATTTGAGAAAAGATCACTGTATCACAGATGTTGATGTTGTCTACACAGAGAATTTCCATTAGACTTCCAAAAGATGCAAGAATTCTGTTTTTAAAGGGAATTTATCTATTATCTGTTAAGTACTGAATCTTGATATACTTATTTACAGTGACTAAGGGCATCTGTACACTGAACAAACTTAAGTAAATATAGATATGTATTTAATAGGTTAGGTTTAGTGCTGTTAATGACATAGACTATGCAGGTAAAGCCGTCTATGAACTGCAAAACATGCCGTGAAAGTTGGGTTAGCTCAGATGGGCTTCGTGCTAAGCTTTTTGCCATTCTGGCTGCACTGCTTACAGTATTCAGGTGTAGCTACTTTAAAGGTATCTTACAACAGGTGTTAACTGCTTCACAACTGGTTCTGCTAACTTTGTGCTATTTGATAGAAGGCTTAGCAGCACTTGTCCCAACATGTCGTAAATTCTGACAGAATGTGTGTGAATACTTGCTGACTGTTGCAGATAGGCAAGTACCAGTGCAATAACAGAAACAAGCTCAAAACCATGAAGATTAGTTGCCTACTAACTTCTAAACACTTTCACATAAAGATTTTAGGGATATCTTAATAAAAATTATCAGACTATTGCTGTAACTATTATTATTTTAATTTGTTTTTACTTAATTTGATAACACTGATAATAATTTGAAAGTACTTTAATAAGAATACAGAATAAGTAGTAAATTAATCTCTCTATGGTAAAATGTTTCACCATGTCATCATTTAAGTTCCTGGGAATGGAAGAAAATTAGACATTATTCAGCAACCTATGACTGGCCTAGTTCCTACTGGCAAACAAAAAACTTAATGCATGATGAATTATGTTCCACAACTTTAAACCTAATGTTTAAAAATCTTTACTAATCGTACCATGATTGACAGTTCTGATTTGAAGGCATCTGCATTCCTGGTTTGTAATTTTTTCCATTTTCATAACAACCACAATTAGAAACACAAGTCATGGTTTCTTCATCAAAATAGGGCTTGTTCTTTGGACAGTGTGGATAGCAGCCTGCAATAAAAAAATTACAGTTATGTTGACACTAGGCCTTTCACAAGTAGAAGTCTATACTCTGCTTATATCTGCTTTCCCCAAATTATCCCATATGGTAAGTGGAATTTCAGACTCTGTTACTACTATTCCTCTGATTGCACATTAAGCTTGGGAGCATTTTGTCCTCATATTCACTCCAAACAAGTTTGTGATCCATTAGGGAGCAAGATACTAATCAGAAAATCTTTTCTTATAATTTCTAATATAAACATGTCATATACTGAGTAATATAAATTTTGTTAATCATATTACATTTTAGCTTTTTATAAGTAGAATGAGATATTAGTAATTATGTTTACCTTCCAAACCTCTCAATTCATGAAGGCAGTTCCCACTTGGATTATTGCAGGTCTTCATACAAGGGGCTCCACATGGCTTGTAGTGCCACTCACATTCCCCTTGTGGATTGTAGTAATCACAGAACAGAGCTAGAGGAAGGAGAAGTGACAGAAAAAGACCTTTGATCTTTTTGCTCTACAGTCTTTCAGTTTTGCTGGGTAAAAATCCCATATGATTAGCATAATCACATAGGTGGTGAACAATATATTGTCTTATTTCTAATTTAATACAACTGTTACACTTCTACCACCTTTTGACACCAGTAAAGTTATAACGTATAGAACAGAGTTACACATTAAGCATGAAAAATCAATTAATTGAATCACTGATTTTAGCTAGTATGCACTAGTATTTATTTACATTGATCCTATTGTAGACAGGTGGGAGTGTATTATAATATTATAGTTCACCAATTGTGTATCATAATTGATAAGTAAATCAGACACTAATGACACCACTGTTAAAGTTACTATCAATGGTTTCATTTTAAAAAGATAGATTGGCTTCCAGTGATTTACCCAACTTGCTTTGTAGGTTTTTTGCTGGTTTTAGAATACAGCAGTGCCTCTTACAAACACAATTTTATCCTTCTTTCTTTCTTTGTTCTACTTGTTTTTCTTTTCTTCTCTGTTTTCTTTCCCTCTGGACCCCTTCAAAAAGTAGTAGGGTGAGACTCACGACAAATGGATGGGGTTCTCCATGAAATGCAGACATCCTGCTCATTGCACGCTTGAGCATAGGCAGCTACTGCTGAACAGAAACATTCACAATCTCCTCCAGTGTCGCAGGCACAAGCATCCTCCACGCATGCTTGATAATATTCATTTGGTTCAACCTGTTGGAGAAAACATTTGAGTTTTCATGCACTTGTCCTCTTTGAAAAACATTCACTGTCCTAAAAAAGCTGAATAAAATATCTGAAACTGGCAACTCTGTACATGTGAGAAAGATAAGAAAGGAAGAAACCATGAGAATGCTTTGAAAAATCAAGAGGAAAATGTAGAATAAAGCTATTACTAATAAGTCATAATGCTAAGAACTATTTGATGTTGAAGATACCTTTGCAGAAGGAATACTGTTACATTACTACAAGCTAGCACACAGTCATAGATATCAGGGGGTTGATATTTATATTAGTAGAAAATGATGCCATTAGAAAATAAACATATCCTGAGATTTATCTGTGATTATCCCTTCTATTAAAAAAAAAACAACTATCAATTTCTTTAGCATACTAGTTCAAGGCACAAGCTGAGAAAATGAAAGTGAAAATATTTTCTATGCAGTCTCCCTGGAACTTGGTCTGACTTCACTGTCAAGCATGACAAAGTGTATTTTAGTGTATTTTTCAGCTATCTGACATAAAAATTAATGTAATTTCTGGCTCAAGAGAATTTAAGACTGAAGTTTTGTCATACCTGGGAGTGACACTTTGCAAACACTTTACTGGTAATGATGCTGCATTGCTTCTGTGCCCAGACTTTCCTGTATGGGTTCACAGTGCATGGATCCTTGGTACGATTGGCATTTGGGCAACTAGAAGACACTTTCCAGCTATTGGCAAACTCCAGCACATTTCCTACTACAGACTGACTGCGAGTAGTGAAGTCATTATTTCCATTGCCATCATAGTTTCCGCAAAGTCCACAGATGTGTCCCTGCATGGGGGTAAGCACAAAATGACAAAGATCAGTAAGGTACAGTTTCTCAGTATCTGCAAGTAACAGACCTCAGGATGAATCTTAAAGATTATCTCAGCCTCTTCAGTAACAGTCTTGGACATTTTCATAAAATACCTTTCATGAAGAAATGTCTCAAACTTGTTTTTAGGAAGGATAAGGATAGGAAGCAGAGTAGACTCACGGTTTTTGTTCTTAGTACTGAGCTAATTAGTTTTATCTAATCCTGAACATGCCTCTTCAGTGAGGGCTTTTCATGAAGAAAGCTACCGACGTAGTTGCTCTTATGCCATTGCTCAATAAGGTAGTTTAAGGAAAATGCATAGTACACAATCTAAGTCAACACCACAAGGATAATAATATGTAATCGCTGCTCTTTCAGTCTTCTGGTTACAGCCTAAATTTCTATTTTTTGCTTTGAGAGATAACACGAATATGTTTCAGAAATAATTTTGTCCAGGTTTTGGATTTTAAAATATACCTGAAAGCTGGGACTAAGTTTGATGAATATACTGGTTTTCTTGTCCCACATGAGTATTAGGCCAACAGTAGTGTCAACCACCAGGTAGATGCCCATGGAACGGATTTGGAATGGCATTTTTCCTCCAGTTGTCCTCTGGATAACATCAGAGTGTCCATCACTGAGTACCAGCTCATAGTTCTAGGACAGGAAAAGAAAAAGTTAGAGGCCAATTAAAAAAAGTCACCTATTGGGTACAGTTTTTGTGTTGCCAGTAACTGTTACTGAAATAACAACTCTATTATCCTCAAAATTATTCTATTCAACAACCTCATGTTAAGCAATTTCTCTTTAGAATTCCCTCCTTTGCTTTCTCTAGCAGAGAGCAGAATCAATGGCAGTGAGCAAGGAAGTGTAGTAACATTGTCACTGTCTTGGAGGACACTTCTATGATGCAGTGTATCTGGGACAGCTTGTTCCATCCTTCTGACACATTGGGCCTGGGGTATAACTTATTAAGGAAAATACTTACCTCCAGGAAAACTTTAATAGACTTAGAGCAGGTGGTTCCTGTAGTGCCACATGGAATGTTCTCAGTGATGACTCTGAAGGTTCCCTGATTCATACTTTGTTGACCACAGTAGTTCTGAAAAAGGGGAATTATATACAGTGTTAACCATGCTACATGTTCATATATAAAATGCAAGGTACTTCAATCATGCAAAAATCTGGGAAGGACTGTGTTACCTGGACCAGAACGTATTCACAGTCTCCTTCAAAATCAAAGCGTTTGCCATCAAAGGTGGTGTAATGCCCATCTCCATAAACAGAACAGGTTTCGAGGCAAGGTTCCTCAGAGCAGTACCATTTTCTGTTTCTACACGTGCTACGTAAGACGAAAAGCACTCCAAATGTAAAAACCAGACATACGCATGATATAGCTATATGTACATTCCTGCATATATGTCAATCTGATTTTAAAATATGTTAAGCCTATGATGAAAAAATAAGGTTTGCTTATTCTCAGAAATGCAGCATAGCCCAAGAGCCTTCGAGATTTACCCAAAGATAGTGTTACTTCATGATGTCATGAATAATTTAGGTTAGAAAATACTTTAAGTCTTTCACATTTCCAAATCTTGTTGGAAATATTGAAATGTAGGGGCTGCCTGCAAGGAAAAAAGCTTTCTTGACTCGAATATGACAGCATCCAAACCATATTGTTCTTCTGACCACTTGCAATTTCTGTGCTGTGTGCCATTGTAAAAAATAGACAGAGCTTGCTTTTTAGGTACTAAATGGATCATCTTATGTAGGATTCCTTCCTATAAGTCTTGATACTGCTAGACTGAAATGCTGTAATTCACCTAGAGCTTAAACTATTCCCTTTCAGATGCTTGAAAATAATATTTTTCAATATGCTCTTACCAGTTGTTACAGCCAACTCGGATTGATTCTCCTGGACTGTAGGAATTCCCATTGTGAACACATGGACAGTCTTCTGGAGCTATACAGCCACCTTTGTCATCTAACACTTGGTTATGAGGACATACACAGCCAGAGACACAGTGGGTTCTGTACTGTAAAGACCATATAGAAAACATGACTTGAAACATTTCCCTGATGAAAGAGTCCAGCTGCAGGTGGTAACTGTAAGAGAGACCTAGTTTAATATGCTTTCAACTGGGTATAAAGAGTCTATACTTACACATTCTGTATCTACAGTCTGACAGCTCTTCTGGCATCCTGCTCCTACCACATCTGCAGTGGCATTGCCACAGTCAATATAGACCATAGGAGGTACGCAGACTGAAGGAGAGAAAAGCCATCAGAAATGTGAGATCAACATGTATTTATATCTTTGTGTTTCCTGAATGCTGATTGAAGAAGGAAAAAAAAAACACCACTCTTTTGTGAGATACCTTGATATAATGTGTTTGACCAGAAAGAGAAACTGAATATTGTTTTGAAGTCATGCTTATCTGGTTTTTGTGCTTATGCTTGGACTACTCATAGAAATTAATGTTTAGTTAGCTTTGTAAAACACTTCATTTCAGCAAAAGAACCCAAAGATCCTAGTTTACTTTGTATTTTTTTAGGCTTTTAGTGCTTTTATTTAAAATGTGGTTGGTTTTCACCTCACGTTCAGTGGGGTGACCAAGTATTCTTTTCCCCTGGGTAACCCATGGGGGTTATAACTTGTTTCAGCCATCTGAATGGTAAGACAGTGTTTCTTTATCTTTTGTGAATATCCTCTACATTACAGAAGTCACCAGTTAATTTTCTTGTTTGACTTCAGACTTGTACAATTTGCATCATTATGACAAAAAAGTCAGAGAACTGAAAAGCATGAAGATGGAAAGGGAGAATGAAAGAAAATCTTAAGTGATATGTTACCTGGTTGAGGTTTCTCTCCAATGCAACTCAGCTTTCCATTGGTGCAAGTGCTATAAAAAAAAGAGAATGTAATGGTTTTGCTTTTCCTTGTTAAGTTTCATCTTGTTTCCTAATGAATTTGAAATAATGAAAAATTACTGTGTGATGAAACAGAGAATATGTGTCCTTTATCAGAATAGATTGTACTATTAAAAAACATTTTATATTAGAGCAGACCAAAATACAAGTATATTCTGTATAAAGACAGGTTTGCTCTATCCATTTGCCTGGTTAAAATCCTTCAGGATAGTTCAGATCCCATTCATAATGGGAATAATCTGTAACAGGATTATCAAGCATCTCTCACCACAGAACAAGTCTTTTACAGGGATGGATAAGAAAAGTATGTGTGGTGGGGAGTGAGTGACTAACTGACTGGGTGGGAGTTTGGCTGTTATAAAAGGCTAACCCACCACAGTATGGTTTGTTGAATTCCTGTAGTAGTCGAAGTACAATCTTCTAAACATGAATAGCTGTAACAATTTTTAAGGATTTGTGGTTTTTTGTATTGAAATTATTAGGGAGGGAAATGCATTTGATTTTAATAGATTGCATAATGTATATATGGTTTCATGATTGCCTGCATCCAATCTCATTCTTTTGTTTGCAATTCTCTTACCAGACAATGCCATTATCATGAATAACTTCTCCAAAAGACAGAGGCATTCCTTTGTAGTAACAAGGACAGCTGGAAGCAGGCACACATTTGCCACTTTCATCCATGTAGGTTCCATTTATGCAGGTGCAGCCATCAACTGGGACAAACGTGATGCTGCATGTGACATCAGGCTCACTCAGAGACCGGCAGGTGGGTTGACAGGAATCGACATTGTAAGTGTACTTCAAGGATTTTGGACACACGGTGGTGTATTTTGCTTGAGAAAAAAAGGTGAGTTACATTTGTAGTTCATTTAAGAATGGATGTAGGTATAAATGCAGTATTTGAGGTAAAGTATATATGATAAACATGGCAATGTAGGTACATGTGCTTTACTGATATCCTCGATAGCGTAATTTTTTTTTGTACTGCTAGAGCAGAATTTTCCCCTATAAATGTATCACAAATACAAATGTTTTATCCACGTCAAAAAAAGAAAAAAGTTTAATTGTATTAATGCATAGTGTGTTTTTAATTCATTGCTATTTTTATATTTTTTGTCAAAGCAAATTGAGAAACACCCTACTTATTTTATTCCTATTGCAAGGGTATTGAGATCCATGTTGCTTCTGCTGGTCCTGAGCAAGTAACCTAACAAAGCCTCTATTTTGTATTTCTCCCTGCTTACTGTTTGTCTTTTATGGTATTCCCTTCCTCCTCAAATTCCTGAAAGTCAATGCTATACCTAAAACACAATTTAGCAGAATTTACTGTGGGAATCCCTGAAAGCTGCTGTGTCGGGCCTTCTGGATGATCATTTTCAAAAAGGCAAAGGGATATAGAACTTACTGCAGGCTTTGCTCCTCCATCCAGTGAGGAGAACTCCTTTAGTGGCACAGGCCCTGACATAGCTGGAAAGGGCAGCACACATGCAGTCCTCGCTCTTCTCACAGTTACACGTGTCAAACATGCAGTTCTAGGGACAGAGGATGACACATGATCATCAGATTGTCATGTCAAAGCCATGACGCTCTATACATTTTAGAGTGTCGTGTTTGTTAGAGCTAAAAGTGAGTATAATCCATATGCACAAGTAAACATATGCTTGTTTTTCATTTGAAGATTTCATTGAGCACTTTCAAAAAAGTTTCTTTGCAAGGAGAGAGAGTAATTACAGGTCCACAATTTTAAACTACTTTTTCTTCTTGTTCTTTACTTTTTCAGGTGTTGGCAGGTTTCCCAACTACTTCCAGTCTGTAGTCACTGTGCCATATATACTTAGAACAAGTAGAGGGTATTTGATGCCACCCAACTTTTAGGGCTTAGGCTTAGGAGTTTGGGCTCTCTGCATCATAGGAACAAACAAAACAAGAAGTCATTTAATGTGTTGCTATGCTGGGCAAGGTCACTATAATGTTATCATTCCAGAAGTTGTTTGTTGAAAATAATCTTACACATTTCCAATAACAGGGAGACTTTGTAAAGTCCCCAGGCAGTCTGTTCCAAAACTTCATCACCTTGAATTCCTGGAACACTTTTGTTCACATCTTATCTAAATCTCTTTGCTGCTTCTTACACAGAATTCTTGCCTTGTTCTTGGATATATGCAAAAGCCTTCTGAGAGCAGTTCAGAGCAACTAAGCAAAGTGCTAGTTAAAGTCTGACTAAAGTTTTCCTTATATCTCAGGAGGGACGGCTTTTCTCCTTTGACCTGATAAGGAGTCCAGGGAGTCCAAGCTCCTAGCTTAGGCATTTAGGTTAGTACCTAAAAATACGGGTAGCAGGAATATGCCTGTAAGTTTATCCTCCTGGGAATGGAAAGAAAGATACCTTTACAAAGGATTTTTATGATGTGTAGATAAAAATGAACCCTTGGCTTGAAAAGAACTATCATGGATGCATCTCCTCCCAATTGGCAAGTTATTCTCTCAGGTGTTAGTATCAGAAATCTGAGTCTTTTTCTTTTAAATGGGAAAAAGTTAAGAGCCAAGTACCTTCTGGTAAACTTCTGGATTCACTGTTGAGTGACATTCACCAAAAGGTCCCATGGTATCAGAGAGCAGTCCACACCAGTGCTGGGCATACTGGTCTGTGAATTGAAAACGTGGTAAGAATTTCTATTGCGCTTCATTGTCTAAACTCTTGTTTCAGTGTAACTATACTTGCTGCAGGGAGATTGCAGAAGCTTAACTTTACAATAGAATTCAGCTCTGCATTTGCTGAAACACAGCCTTTCACTTGCTCTATACAAAAATATGAACTCTTCATAAACCAAATACTCTTAATTCATGACAGCTGGCATATAAACTAAGACATCCTTAGCTGAATGTTGAACAAGGAGGTTCACACTGTGAATTAAAAATACGCTAGTTCATCTCAGAAAAGAGAAGAATGGCTTGTGAATGCTCAGGAATTATGTATTTCATTGGCTGAAATGGATTCTGAGAGCTATGAAGCTCTGCATTGTAAGTTTAATTCTCAGTTTAACAGTGGAAGGACCACAATGAGTCCAGCCTTCAATGGGGCTATGCACAGCTTTTTTTCTTTCTATGTGAGAATAAGTCCTTTCCAGGAATGGATCCCTGATACGCTGTGTGGTTCCAGTTTCCCTTAAGTTCACAAAAACACTTGCTTTCTTTATCCAAATGAATGTTTTTGAAGATCCAAAATATTATCCTAGTCATTATTTATTAATTGAAGACATCTAGCGTCAACTGAGGAAAATAGTGTGTGTACAAATGGTCCACTGTTATTTTGGCTAAATGCTTGATGGTTGATCAGCTTATTTCTTCCTTCCATCTTAAAAGACAGTAGAAGGGGTTACTATATGCTGAGCTTACCATTTTGTATGCTGACAGTACAGGGGTTCTCAAAGGTATTTTTGGCATCAGGACAATCAGCCCGAGTTTTCCAAGTATTACCAAAGGCAGCTGAAGTACCCTCTGTTATACCACTGGTGGTTTTGAAATCATCTGTCTGCATGTCATTGAAGTTTCCACAGAGACCTAAAAGGAAGCAGATGGGCTGTGAAAATCTCCTACAGAATGAAGTGTACTGATGAAGGCAGTTGTTATGATAAGATCACTTACCACAGGTCTGCCCTTTATGCGATGGGTCTAAGTCTATAAAAAGTTGCATGAGAGGCACGAGCTGAACCTGTAGCTGAAGACCAAAGGTTGTTTGCAGAATGATGAAGAAAGATGATGGTCTGAAGATGGTGACATTCGCTAGGGACATAAGAGCATAAGAGTTATAACTTCATATTAGATGAGCAGTTGAAATAACTGTTCATTATGTAGAGGAATTCTACAGCTGTGTTTGATATGATCCTAATTTCTGCAGAACTGGAGGAAAAATGATCCATATAGGATTTCAAATCCAGCACTAAAACAGGCTGTCTTTACTGTAAACAACAAATTTATAAAACGCCTCCACTTTCTGTCAGGTGTTTTAAAATAAGGGGAAGAACACACACTTCTGCTGCTATTTAAAAGAGCACCTTTGCTTGGTGAAAATTATATAGCATGATTTAGTAGTAGACTCCAACCTGGACCTATTGTGTCCTTTCATGGTTTACTTTCTGTTCAGGTGCAGTAGTATCTGAGAAGAACTGGCATGAGAGAAACTCTCCAGTGATGAATGTGCACCAAGCAAAGGGACAGAGGGAGCACAGGGAACTAAACAACTTATTTGAGTCCTGTTACATATCAGAATTTTTCTTTCCTCTCTTATGGCAATGTTTGGATCTGGAAGTGTGCAATGATACTATTTGCTTGAATTGAACATCCATTTAATTAGATATCGCTAAAATTAGACCATAATTTGGCTAAAATTATAAGAGTTGAATAGGCAAACCCTATCACTTTAAAAATGAGAGACTATGCTCTATTGGAGTACGTTGGGTTTGCTGCCCTGTAACCAAAGGTAGAACTTGGCTTTAGATTAACTGAAGTAATAACATTTTAAAGTAAAAAATTAGAAACATCACAGAAGCCTTCCAGAGGAATTTACCTGCAGAGAATGGGAGCTGTGTGTAGATCATATTCACAAATACACTGCCGGAAGACTGGATCACAATGTTCTGTCCACAAGAAAATGCAATGATTATCAAGCATATTTAGGAAAGGTAAAACACTTTCCAAATATTTTCTATCTAGTAGTGTTCCGGATAACGGAAAAAAAAAAAACCACCATGGGGGGAGACCGTGATGATGTTGTGATTCCTATACTATTTCTTTTTATTACTATAGTCCATTGACTGTCAAAACAAACAAGCAAAAGCACAAAGATAACTAAATGACAGAAAACTACTAGGATCTTGACTTCCAATGTACCTACTTTATTCTTAATTTTTCTTTGAATAATGTTCAAATGAGATAAACCAAAAACAAACAAACAAACAAAAATCAGTGCAGATTTCCTGTCTGTGCTGTTATGTGTCAGCATGTGTGGAATGGCTGATACACCAGCAGGCTGTGCTGCTATGCAGCGAGACCTGGACAGGCTACAGAGTTGGGTGGAGAGGAATCTAATGAAGTTCAACTAAGGCAGGTAGAGGGTCCTGCACCTAGGGAGGAATAACCCCCTGCACCAGTACAGGTTAGGGGTTGACCTCCTGGAAAGCAGCTCTGCAGAGAAGGACCGTGGAGTCCTGGTGGACAAGAAGTTAACCATTAGCCAGCAATGTTCCCTTGCAGCCAAGAAGGCCAATGATGTCCTGGGGTGAAGAGTGTGGCCAGCAGGTTGAGGGAGGTTATCCTCCCCCTCTACTCTGCCCTGGTGAGGCCACATCTGGAGTAGTGTCCAGTTCTGGGCTCCCCAGTTCAAGAAAGACAAGGAACTACTGGAGAGAGTCCAGCAGAGGGCTGTGAAGATGGTTAGGGGACTGGAGCATTTCTCTTATGAGGAAAGGGCTGAGAGAGCTGGGTCTGTTTAGCTCAGAGGAGACTGAGAGGGGATCTTATCAACACTTACAATATCTTAAGGACAGGAGGTGTCAGGAGGATGGGGCCAGACCCTTTTCAGTGGTGCCCAGTGACAGGATAAGGGGCAATGGGCAAACACCGAAACACAGGAAGTTCCATCTGAATGAGGAAAAACTTCTTTACTGTGAGGGTGACAGAGCACTGGAACAGGCTGCCCAGAGAGGTTGTAAAGTCTCCTTCACTGGAGATATTCAAAACCCACTTGGATGTGACCCTGTGCCACCTGCTCTAGGTGAACCTGCTTTTAGCAGGGGGGTTGGACTAGATGATCTCCAGAGGTCCTTTCTGACCCCAACCATTCTGTGACATTTGCAAACTACTTTATTAAGCTTTGAAAACATCCCTGCAGAATGTTAGGTGTCTACATTTGCTACTTACAGTTTGTCCTCCACTAAGGCTGACGGCTATACCCTTGAGGCATGTCTCAGTGTCAGTGAGGCCACACTTGTGGATATCTCCCAGAACAGTGAATTCATTGCTGTTACAGAGCTAGAAGAAGAAAACAAAACATATCGTTAATGATTTGTTATATTAAAATATCGTTATGTTAAAAAGGTTCACACTCAAATGACATTGTTAGTAAAGGGAGTAATTTAAAATATTGTTTATTCCTTTTCTTCCTGCTTATATGTTCTTACATATATGTATACAGTCACCAAGTAAGCTGGCATTCATGCAGTCTGCACAGTGGAAGATATCCATCACTTGTGACATTCATGGGCAATTTAGACATATTGAGCTGAACATTAAAACTTCCTAATGTTTAGGTAACACTAGTTCCTAATGTTTAGGTAATACTAGTTTAATATGCTAGAGAAGAAGGAAGTGTGCCTTTCTTGCCTGTTGGTTATGGTGTTTACCTAGGAGAGGAGTGAAATTGTTTCCAGTCTCTTCTGCACTGAATAGATTATCAAAGAGCCTGGTGATCTGGACGTTCCTTTAACAGGTAGGAAATATGCATTTAAATGTCCTCTCATAGGAGAAAATTAAACTAAAATCACTATTCACTGAGCTACTAAATAAAGGCAAAATTCAGTTTTTCTCTTGGTTCTGATTTTCATTGGACTGTGTTCTGTGAGCTGTATTCAGAGTGTGCCTAATGGCCAAGACATTACAGGGAAACATGCAGAAGGCTGTGATTCTGAATGTGTCTTATCACTTTCTTGGCATAATGAAGATTAAATTGAGGACAGCTGAGATAGAATTACATTATCTGTAAATACAGTGTTAAAAATGTGGTCTTTTTGACCCTCTGTGTCCAAGTTTAGGGGTTTTCTGTACCTCCAGAGCCTCTGAGAATCTAATTCTACATGTTAGTGCCAAAAGGGGAATTTATAGTGTAAGTCTGATCTATGCTCCCATTGTGGCTCAAGCCCAGTGCTTGTGAATCTTATCAAAAAGTTTCACTGATTTAGTCTAATCTATTTCTAAATTGCCTCATTCTAGCTTATTTCTAAGTTTTTATGATTCTCTGTCTTCATAATGTTCAGTTTGAGCTTTTTGAGAACAGATTTTATTTAAAATGAAGTCTTTATGAAAATTGTTTACATCACTCATCCAATACAAATAAACAACAAATACAGCTAGGGTTCTGAAATCTGCAAATCTGTAGTCATCATTTTAGATACATTTACTCGGAATTCAGTCCCAACTAATCTAAAAACTCCAGTAAATCTTAGGTGTTTTTGTAAGTCATCAATTTCTAATTAAGGTTTTAGAATACAAGTATGACTTCTTAGCTTTTTGCTTTTAAACTCTAGAGCCTTCTGTGTTTACTGGGAAAGACTGGAAGGTTGATCATCTTAATGAAGTAACTCCTCTCCCATGAATTCTGTATAATTCCATTACAAATACTGTTAATCAAATTAGCCATTGAACTATATTAACTGTGACAAAAAGGACAGTACCAATGGATGTAATAAACACATTGCTCAGAAAGAAGCCATTATAAAACACCAGACAAACAATATTTAATTAAAAATTAATGGGAAGCATGGAGATTGTTTCATGGAACCTAAAAACTCAGTGCAATTCTTAAACGATGATCAAAGAACACAGAACTAATACAATATGTTTATTTAGTATAACCCTAACAGAAAGCCCATGAAATCCATTTAAGGCTCTATGTTGGCCCTCTACGTTTCAGAAAGTTGATGTGGTTGCTAGTAGTTTTAATTAAACAACATTATATATAATAAAAATGTTTTCCTTTAGCATATTGCTTTAGCAAGGATTGTGACTCATTTTTACCTTGGTTAGGACATAGCTACAGTCTCCAAAGAAGGAATAATATTTCTCATCAAATGTTGAAATGTGGGAGCCTCCTTCAATGCTGCAAGTCCCGGGGCATGACTGGGTGACACAAGACCATTCACCTCCAGCACAGGTACTGAAATGAAGAAGGGATTCAGTAACCTTGGGTATTGCAAGTGTAAATGAAGTAAAAGACAATAAGGGCAGTTGATGCCTTAATTTTCCTCTTGAAACATTGATCATACTGTCAAAGAAACCAACATTGCTTTGAAATCTCAGAATAAGTATGGGGCAGGCATATTTATATTAGTGATAATTTTTTTATATATTGCTGTTTATTTCCAGTCTTTGGACAGAATTCCATTCTGGTGAACCTGACATCCGTTCTGCTACATATAAAGGATCGCCCCTCATCTCCATTAGCATGGCTCAAGCTTCAAACATGTTAAGTATTTCTTGGAAAATAACATGCATGTTTGTGGTTGTTGTATTCATAGATAGATAGGTGCATTTGCATACACTTATGCAATAATACTTCAGTAATTCAGATCTCAAATGTGATCTCCCACTCTGTCTAATGCAATATGTCCCTAAATGCTACATATTTACATAAGCATCCTAGTATTACACTGTAGTGCTGCAAAGGACGTAACACAGTAATTCATATTTTTGAACACCTTTGGTATTTGAATTTGATTGTCTCCTTTAATTGGTTGGTCTTGAAATTGGAGTACCTATATCTAAACTCAAATTTTTGCTTCCAAGTGTGAATAGAAAACAGAGATGTAAGTGTCCTCTGAAGATGTGTAATCAAGGAACTTTTGTTGATAAGTAGTTCCTCATTTCTTTTTAAGGGGAAATTGGTAATTTTTCCCTGTCTTCAAAATGTTCAGGTAATGCACCTAAAAAAGGAAGTATGAGAAAGGGAGTACGTTACCATGATCTGCATTTAGATGAGAAGGAGGCACCAGGAGCATAAGTTTCACCTTCATAGGTACAGTGGCATTCTTTACGGGGAATGCAGCCAGCACCATTAATGTCATCAAATACC